TTCAAGAATGAATGTTTGCCCGGCCACACAAGTATATCACTTATGCACATTAATAATTTTACACTAACCACTCAAACTAGGTTGTCAGCAAATCTGTGGCAGATTTATTTAAGGTTTACAAGGATACGACAGACGAACTGCAATTAATTTACAAAGATACAAGCATACAGTACTTTTGTCGAATTTTCAAGTACCTGTTTTACTGTGTAAATATGAGAAACTTGTATGAGGCCAAAAGCAACGGGAATGATGCTCTAACTTATACCATAGACATGTACTTCTAAGGATGATACACGTTTGAAGGTACATGTACGTATAACTTGACGAATAGAATATTACATCATTGTGGCTGAAAAACACTTCTTGGATATCTTAATGATTGGAAGGATATGTCCCATCAAAGGAAGAACTTTCTTTAGATCAATGTAAAAGGGTCATGTTGTCACCACACACACTAGAAGGATTAAAGACTACTGGTGCTTATTATATATATATGCTGTTACTTTTTACTGTCACCCTTCATTGTGGTAGTATATTCTTTTTGGACCTATATATCGTGCCTTTTCTCTAGTCACTGAATGGAACTTCATGTACCTTTGTCATAAGTGAACTGTGAACTATTCAATCAAGATAACATTAAGATGTTTTTTGGTAAACAAGAGCTTGTTGTGGGCGTTGAGACAATCCAACTGTTCACCAGTTTATGTTTCATACCCAAGACATCCATACCACTGGATTTCATTCTATGGGTTCTTGCTTCATTAAGAATATGACCAAGACGGAAATAACTTTTATATTATACTATAAAGTACTGTACTATTATTTGCAATGGCTATCGTATACTACTTAAAAATAATAATAAATAAGTAATAAGTATCATTATTAATTTTGTCTTGATAATTTTTCCTTCTTAGTTCTGTATGTAAGCTTCTCTTTTTCCTTGTTTCATTCTTCATTTTCTGGTGTAGCTTCTTTTCCATTTTTGCAATTGCATGTCCTCTTACTTTAACCATTTCTTTACAACGTCATTTAGCAATAATTGTTTCTTTACCTGCTTAGCACAATTTTCACTAGTAATTAGTTAAAGTTATAATCTATATTGTCAAGTGTTATCTGATGGCTTTTACACCATATTACCATAATTTTCTCACCCCCGCTTTATGAATACACCAGTGCACTGTATCACACCCATCACACGATTGCTGTACAATGACAACACAGTTGACCTGTATTGCAATTGCAAGGCCTCGTTGTCCCAACTAAGTACTGTATTTGTTGTGCCAATAGTAATTCAATGCTCAAGGAAATGTCATATTGGCCAATAGCTTAAAATGAATTATTATTCAGCAGTGTCATGTTAGCCATAATTGATCATAATATGACAGTGTCATGTTGGCCATAGCTTAAAATGACATATTACTAAAGCAGTGTCATAGTAATAGTCTAACCTTGTAATGAAGAAATAATAGCCATAATACATGTAAAAAAGTAGTCCATAAAACATGAGACAGAGTAAAATGGTTAGTAATTAAAACCCTGTCATATTTGCCATAACAAATACAAAAGAATTATGAATGAGATTGAGACACTGTCTATTATTGGCTTAAGTAATATTGAATAATAATGAATAAGGCACTGTCGTATTGGCCATAATAAGATAAATAATGAATAAGACACAGTGACATTAGCCATAAGAAATAAATTAAGTAATCATGCATGAAATGTCATTGTTGACATTAAGTAATTAATCTTAAGACAATGTTTATTAACACTGCTATATGGCCATCTTTGTCCCCTTCGTTACCAGCTTGACCTCACTGTTGTGAAGTGGTGGCAACAGTTAGGACATAAAATTTGTCCCTACTGGCCAACAAAGCTGGAAGGTATTATGTTTACTTTATCACTCAGTTTATTGCACAGTTACTGTTTATAAAAGGATAGAAGATTCATAACCATGGAGAAGGAATAGAGAACCTAATTAGTGTAATGTCACAGCAGTGTAATGGTGGTATATAATGGTAGTTAAAATGTGTGAATAACATGTGAAAATAAAATGCACTTGTTTTATGCACTTTATTAATATTAAGACTGCTCTCTTTCACATTCATAGAAGCAACTTGACCTCGCCAAGGAGGGGGTGGCAGCATAGTACACATTCTCTGTTCTGAATAAAAGATTCAAAACATATGTCCAATAATTTGATTGATAACATTTATACTTTTAATTTGTTAGTTTAGTTGCTATACACTATTAATGTATAGATTACATGATTAGACTGTTATTGTACACATGGAAACATGTGCCATCCCAAAGGCTAATTAGGCTAAGTGTTGAACTGTGAATTTCAGTTTCTGTCAAAAGTTACAAAATTGCTACTTCTGA